AGCAACCTAGACACCAAACCGTTCTCCAAAGAAATGGTCCCTGAACAGAAGTAAGCAAGCTCCTTGGAATCTGCAAGGACTCAACTCTCCAACCTGAGGCTTGAGCCACACTCACATCTGAATACTCCCTACTGACATTATGACCTAAATCACAACTACTTTAAAATCTCCATTCTTTTTGTCAAGAGCCTATGCTGCCCCCCTCAAGACGTATTCTGCTAATCTGTGTGATGGTTCCTTAAGTTGTTTTGTCACATACTGTCACCAAAATAAGACTCATAACTGATGCAGGCTGTTTAAGGCCATGACCAGACCTGCCCCAGGCTTGGGTAACTCTCCGCATCCCTCTTGAGACCAAAGAGGAGCCAACAAAAACATCGACAAGAAACTGACAGGACTCTTCAGTGTGTCAGCTAGAACACAGCCAGCAAGTGATCGTTGCATTCTCTAGCTCTCTTTCCCCCCCCTCTTTGGAGATAGGGTCCCACTATGTTGCCCTATCTGGCCTGAAACATGTAATGTAGATCAGGCTGGCCTCCAAGTCATGGAGGTCTGTCTGTCTCTGCCTCTTGAGAGCTGGGATGTAAAGCATGGACCACCAAGCCCAACTGGTCTCTCTCTTTAAGAAGAAAATGTGTGTAGGTGGTAGTGGTGGTGGTGATGGTGGTGTGTGTGTGTGTGTGTCTGGTGTGTGTGTGTGTGCACATGTGTGCAAGGACACATATAGAGGCCAGAAGAGGCTGTCAGGTGTCCTCCTCTATCATTCTCCACTTATTCCCTTGTAGCTTTCACTGGGTTAGAAGCCAGCAACTCCCAGCAATCCTCCTGTCTCTGCCCCTCTGAGCTGCAGTTATAGGCATTTCCAGGGATATCCAGCCTGTTACAAAGGTGCCAAGACCTCAACTCCAGTCCCCATAATTGTGGATCAAGTGTCTTAACCACTGAGCCATATCCATAGCCTCTCAGTCTCTTTACCCAACCCCTCATGTTGTCATTGCCCATGGCTTTCCACATCATCAGATGCCCTCTCTCCAAGCATGATGACCCTGTTATTAATTAGCTCTTGACAAATAGCCAAGAGGCTACAGTAGCTTACAGACATGCCCCGTGCATCTTTCCCACCTTTCTGAAGCGCTGGGCCTCAGCAGGAACCCTACAGCTTACCCAGGGCAGCTATGCTCCAAGCAGCCTTCATTTTTCTGGGGCCAGTTGGGTACCAGAATGCTACTTTACTCATGGAAATGGCAAAACTGCGCAGGAGCAACCTGCTGCCCAGAGGCTTGCCAGCTTTCCCAAGTGCCTTGTTGTTAATTGCTCATTGGCTGAAGTAAATCACATGGCCCAGCTGGAGCTCAAGCTTAAGTCACTTGTGGGAGAATGCACCCTGCCCACCGGAGGCAGCGAGAGTGGGCATGTGTCTTGTGTCATCAAAGTGCTGGGAGTGAGAACTCTCTAGAACACACCTTCACTTGCCCTCCACACCATGTTGGGGTCTCAGGTTCATCACTGAACTACCAGGAGCAAGAGTACAGCATACATAAGGCAGGCTTCTTCTCCCCCCACCCCTGAAGAGAGCCGTGTAGTTACAGAGAAAATAATAAAGCAAGCTGCAGGTGAAGGGAACAGGTGGGTGGGGCTCTTCTGAGAGTCTGGAAAAGCGAGAGACTCCGTCAGCCCATTCCTTTCTTCCATCCTGTTCAGGGCACACCCATCAGCAGGAGGCCCAGGAGAAGATACAGGAGGAAAGCAGGAGGAGGCAACACCCTGCTTTCTCTCTGGGTGAGGTCTTGGTCCATTTTCAGCGAATCTGCCTGAGCTCGGATAGCAGTCTCCTCTAGGCCGGCCTCTGCCATGCTTCCATTCACCTTTGTGGTAGACCCAAGCCTTGGGCTTGTAGTCCCCTCAGCCAACACCATCTGGCTACAGTTTGCTAACACTTTTATTTCAGTGATGTTTATATTTGTGAAGTTTGTCTTCTATTTTTGGAAGATGCCACTGGTTTCCTGTTTGGCCACACAGTTTCCTTTCAAATAAATATATTCAAACAAACAATTTATGTTATTTGGCAAAGAAAGGGTAAAAGGGGGGGTTGAAGCAGTCAGCCTGGGTTCAAATCCACACTCTGTCATTCCTCTAGGGCCTTTGAACAGGGTCCTGTCTCGGCTTCCCCCAAATCTCAGCTTCATGGATGGAATGAGGCCATCTTTTGCAGGGCTGCTGTGTTGAATTACAGCTGATGTTTGTCAGACATGGGACATAGCAGTTTGTAGAGGACTTGCCCAATATCCTGAAGCTTTGTGTTCCATCCCCAGCACCACATAAGCTGAGTGTGGGATGCACGACTATCATGGGGGGGGGGGGGGGGATAAAGGCAGGAGGATCAGAAGTTCAAGGTCGTCCTTGGCTACATAGTAACAACTTGATGACCAGCCTGGTGGCCAGCCTGGGCTACATGAAACCTTGTCTCAATAACAACAATAAGCTAGGTTGGTAAAGTATCTGACATGTAGCAAATACTTATTAAATGATAGTAGCCACTGGAACTCTCCCTCCTGGCAAAACCTTTGGGTTTTCTGTTTCCAGATGACTGTGGGACAGACAGGCCTCAGGTCCTAGTAGCGCCTGCTGTCCCCTGTGAAAGATCCTCTTACTTGGGGAATGAGTCTACATCTGCTTTACCCATGCAAGTCCGATACAAGACCAACTGCTTCATCAGCTGGAAGCCCAAGGGAGCGATTCTTTGGATGTGGGGTCTCATGCACCTCAGGGACTCTCTAACTTAGACCCTCTACAGAGCTCTGCAACCAGATTTTAAAATGATGCCCACGAACCCTGAAACACAGCAAACTGGCTTGGGGTAGTAGGGTTGGTGGCATTTGCCGTGTGTTACCCTAGCTCTTGGAAGGTGGAGAGGCGGGAGGGTTGAGAGTTTACGGGCAGCCTGGCTATATAGCAAGACCTTGTCTCAAAAATTAATAAATAAACAAATAAAATAAACTAGGGGCTGGCAAGATGACTGTCATAGTTAGCTCAGTTGTCAGCTTGACACAAACCCAGAGGCACCTGGGAAGAGGGTCTAGCAATTTAACAGTAGCCTCCATCAGACTGCAGGCATGTTGGTGGTATATTTTCTTGACCATCCCTGGGCAGGTGGGCCTGGGTTATATAAGGTAGCAGAGCAATCCAGTAAGCAGGATTCCTCCACAGTCTCTACATCAGCTCCTGCTCCCAGGTTCCCACCCTAAACTCTTTCCTGTGTCCCTCAAAGATGAACTGTTCCTGAAGTGTCAGGAGAACTCAGCCCTTTCCTCTCTCAGTTGTCTTTGGTCCTGGTGTTTATCACAGCAACATGCTAAGGCCACTTGCCACTAAGTGTGAGGACCTGAATTCTATACCCAGTATCCTTACGGTTCTCTCTGATCTCCATGTATGCTATCCACACGCACACACACAAGTGAATAAATAAATAAGTAAATGTAATAAAAATAATGAAAACAGGGAGAAATCAATGAACCAGCAAAATGGCTCAGTAGGTAAAAGCACTTGCCCCTGAGTCTGATAATCCCTAGAAACAACATAAAGGAGAAAACAACATAAAGGAGAAAATCAACTGCAAAGTTGCCCTCTTACCTCCATATGTATAAACACACACACACAGCTTTAAAAATATGGGGGGGGGGAGCCTCCAAAGTCACAGAGAAACCCTGCCTCGAAAAAAAAAAAAAAAGGAAAAGATCAAGAAAGAATGAAATGCCCAATTGAGACTATACAACTGCTCGTAAGTTATCGTTTGTTGTTAGAGGCACGAGCCTTTTACTTTTGGTTTGTATAAAGAACACAAATTTGTGAAATTAGAAGTCTAAAATAATGCTGTAATGTGCTGGGCCCTGTGTCTGAGTGTCTTCAATTTTAAAAGATTCCCTTCAACACATAGGCTGAGGTGCAGGCCCTCCCTTGCTTATTTCCAGGGCCTCCCAAGAACCTTCTGGGCTGTTCATCTGCTGTTTTCAGATGAGATACTGAAGCAAAGGAAAAAGGTAGTTATGGGTCTTTTAGTCATTTTCAGGAACAATGAATTCCCAGGAGTTCTAAGGACTTTGGGAGTGATTTGTGTGAGGGTGTGTGTATGTGTATTAGTTTGGGGAAGCTGCAGGGAGGAGTTGGAAGAGGGGTTATTAGGGTGAAACCCACGTGCCAGGCAAGAGTGAGATCGTGGAATCCCATCCCCAGCCTTCGTTTTAATTTTTGCGTGGAGGTCTTACTAAGTATCAAGGGTTGGCTTTGAATTCATTGTGTGGCTCACGCAGGCCTTGAGCTTGGATCTGCTACCTCAGACTTCTCAGTAGGATTTGTAGGCTTGGCTGTAGTTGGAGGAATCTTTTCTTTTTCAAATGATTTATTTACTTTCATTTTATGTGTATTGGTGTGTGTATGTGAGGGTGTCAGAACCTCTGGAACCAGTCAGTTGTGAGCAGCAGCTGGGAACTGAACTTGGGTCCTCTGGATGGGCACTTAACCTCTGAGCCAGCCCGACTTGGTGGAATCTCGGGGCTTGTCCTGATGGTGGTCTTAACTCAGGGGAGGAACTCTAATTTCTCAGTTTCAGCTACACAGCCTCTCCAGGAACCAGGCACTGTGTGAGTATTGCTTTTAGGCCTCAGAACAAGGTCCCACCATGCCTTCCGTTTTTTCCATCAGTGGAAACTGAGGCAGAGACATTAACAACCAGCTCATTAAGTTAGAAAGAGAAACAGAGAGGGTTCTAGGAAGGAAGCAGGGATCAACCGGGTCCTAACCCTGCAGTTAAGAGAAGGGAGACAGAGATGAGGAGAGGAGCGATGTCTCCAGAGAGAGGCTCCCAGCTCCCTTAAACTTTGCGAGTGCCAGTGCTGCAGGGTGGCGGCAGGGCCTGGGGGTCCCCAGGTTGCCTCCCGCGGTCCCGCCCTCCTCCCCCCGTGCTCCTGACATCACGGCCCGGGAGGCGGGCTCCGGAGAGGGCGGCGGGGAGGAGGCTCGTCGGCCCGGAGGGCGGAGGAGGCCGAGCCGTCCCAACCCCGAGCTTCAAAACAGCCAGTGCCTCACCCCGCGCGCAGCCCGCCCCTGAGTCCAGACGCCCGCGACGGGTGAGTTGGGGGTGCACCCGGGAGACATCAGTAATGTCGGGGTTCCCGGCTGACAGGAGAGCGGTCCGTCCTTTTTAGGCACTGGGACAGACCCGGGGATCCGTGGGAGTCAGGGAGGGGCCGGGGTGCGGTCTGTGTAGCAAGCAGCCCCGCTGCTCTAGACCCCTAGGAAGTAGGCCTCCCTTTTTGGGTTCCTGAAGCTACCGTGACACCCCTGAGTGGCATCTGTCGCCTTTTGCGCCCAAACAGGCGGGAAAAGTTTGGAGAAGAGTCAGGGCGGCTCCCCTCTCCGCCACCTCTGGCCCAATGCTCCGAAAGTTTAGGGTAGTCAGCCCACTTGTCGCCTGTGGTATTCAGCGTGTGATCCCCAAGCAATGCTAACTAGGCAGGATCTGCTGCGCCGAGACGCAGTTCGTGAGTCCCCGTGGGCCGCTTGCTCCTCCGGACCTGGGCTCCGTGGCGCCCCACAGTGGCGAGGGGCAACTTTCTTGGGTTCTTACCCGTGTCCCAGCCACGGGGGAAGCGCCAAGGATGACCCACCCCCCTGCCTGCTCTTACCTACTGTGACAGATCTGAGGGCTTTAAAAGGAAGGGAGCATGTCACACATGATTCCACGCAAAAAGGAGGTATAACTGAATGGGCATGCCTGGCTTGGAGAAGGACTGAAGCGTCTAGCTTCAATTCAGGAGGACCCCACTCATACGAGGCACCTTGAATCTTCAACTTCAAAGACAGACTAGTGGGGGGGGTGGTTGCCAGGGGATGGGAATGGGTGGGATTTGGTAATATTGGAATTTGGGAATGGGTGGGATTTGGTAATATTGAACAGGTATAGTTTTGGTTGAGAACGATGGAAAGTTTTGAGTATGAGAGTTACTCAGCATTGCTAGTTTATTTCAGCCCGTGCGCTTGTACAATTACAAATGATTTAAATAATAAATACTATGTGTATTTTGCCTCAATGAGAGGTATAAGAGACATCCCTAGCCACCTCTGCTTGGTCATTCTGAATCAGAGAGAAATCCCAAAACCCAGTCATGGAGGCTGTACACCTTTCCTTGAAATATCACTTTCAAATAAGGATAGAGGCTCCATCCAGGTCACAGGGGAGACCCGAGGGAAGAGGGGGTGGAAGCCCATGGGAGTATGCCTTGCGCTCCACGTGCCTCCTCCTCCCAGAGAGCCTTACCCTTGCCTGTCCCTAGCACAGCACACCCTCCTGTTGAAGGTGGAAAAACCTGGCTCAGAGACCTGGCAGAGTCAGATACTCAAGGCTGCGGAGCCAGAACTTCTCCCTGTCTCCACTGTGCCCTCCCTCCTTCCCACCAGGAGATACCTCAGTGGAGTGCGGGATATGGGGAGAGAGGTGTGGGTCCCCTCCAAGGTACGTGGGCAGATAGATGCCCAACCCACAACCTAGGTTGGCACTAGGGGTGGCCAGAAGGTGCTGAACCTGTTTTTCCTCCAAGGGGTTTTGGATCCATACCACCGCCACCCCCACAGGAACTGAGGAGTCAGACTGGGAGGCAGAAAGAGCAGGTCGCACAGCCTGGAGCCTTCTCTGTCCCTCAAATGCAGAAGCTGAGGCTGGCCTGCAATCTGGGCAAGGGTGTTTGTGTGGGAAGCTGGGGATGGAGCCAGGAGAGAGGGGGAGGGGAGGGCAAGGCTGGGCAAAACAGTCCTGGGAAGAGTTAGCTTGGGTGGTGCTGCCCCACCTACAGGGAAGGCCCCTTCTCAAGCTGACACTGCCCCAGGGGAGAATTTAATTGTAAATACAGAGCGTATCTATTTAGCAGCCCCCAAATACGCATTCAGATACTCACTTAAATACTCACATATGCATGCACACACCCTCCTTATGGGCATCTGGGGTTTTTTTCTCTCTCTTTGACTTACCTTCACAGTAAGCATTAAGCCCAGGGAGGGCCAGTTTGTCAGTTTTTTGTTGGGTACAGACCAACACTCAGCTGCCCTGTGGTCTCCTCTCCTGTTCCCAGAGCCTCCCTGCTCATCCTTGAGATGACTAGAGGAGGCAGTTCTTTGTCACAGTGAATGAACTCTAAGGGACACTACAGGGAAGGAAGTCTGTGGAGACAGCACTATATATAAAATACCTTTCTAGGCCACATGGGATGGCTTGGGACTTTGAGGCTGACCAGGAGACCAGAGTCCAGCCATCTCCTGGGGGCGGTGCATATTGCAATGTGTGACTGATGCCCAGGTCTGATGTCAGGTGGGGGCTCTGACACAGGTTTCAAAAGCTTAGGTGGGGCAGGTGCTCAGGCCAAGGGTGGCTCAAGCAGAGCTGGGCATCCAGACCCAAAGGTGGACTTGGGTGTCTGTTCTGGGGCTGGGGAGTAAACTGTCTTAGAAGGGTGAGCCAAAGGTTGCCTGTGCAGGAACGTGCGTGCTCCTGTGTGCTAGAAAGAGCAGGAGTCTGTGCTTAGAATGTGGTACCCACGTCGCCCCATCACTGGTGAGGTGTTGTCTTGCTCCCGGCAGGTGCTGTCCTTTGAGCATGGTTTAGGTGGGATGTCAACAGGCCTTTGGCAGAGTCAGGGAGTGAACACATCTGATTCTTGTTGGGCTCACAGGGGGACACTAAAAATATCAACAGCAGGGCTGCCTCCCAGCCAGAACAATCTCTGGTAACCCGACACCCCAAGTGAGGCTGGTGGCTGTGACAGATGGTGATGACAACATAGGACCTCAGGATTCTAGAGTCACTTGGGCTCCTCCAGGCTAGCCAACCTGGGGACAGATGCCTGCAGAGGGTGAATGCTCTCTGCATTCACTGGCATGGGCAAAAATTGGAGAATTTCAGGACTTAAAGAAGCTAGAAATCTCCATTTTTGAGAGCTAGGCACAAACCCAGAGAGGTGGTATGATTTGCCCAAGATTGCACAGAAAGCTGGTGGCAGATCTAGATCCCAGGAAGTGGTCAGTGGGATTCCAGCCTCCTGGACTGAGGGACTCTTGCAACATATGTCTTTCATCTAGTACTCTGGTGGAGGAATGTTGGGCAAAACACTCTCCAGTGTGTCACTTTCCCAGAGCATCTGGGGACTTTCAGACGCAGCTTCGGGGCTCTAGAGAAGCTGACTTATCTTGGGACAGCATGTAGGGAGGAGGAAAACCAAGTAGATGTTGGCCTCCTTGCTTAGTAAGCACCTGTCAGATGCGGAACCAAGCTCCAGCCCTGGCCCTCACCTTTCTTGGGCAGCCAGGCTTCTGCTCCATGGGGGCTTAGGGCTCTAGAGGGAAGAGAAGGCTGCACCATTCTTTTTTGTTTGTTTATTTTTTCGAGACTGGGTTTCCCTGTAGCCCTAGTTGTCCTGGAACTCCATCTGTAGACCATGCTGTCCTCAAGCTGGGAGATCCCCTGCCTCTACCTCCCAAGTGGGGATTAAAGGCTTGTGCCACTACAGACCAGCTTGGCTGTTCTATTCTTGCCAGACTTGACTGCTCCAGTTTTTAGAAGCTTCATAGGACTTGGGGTTCAGAGCTGAGTGAGGAGTCATCAGTGCCCTCAGTAATTTGGGACGCAAAGTGCTGTTATGAGGTAGGATACAGGTGGACAGCTTGGCTCCTCACTACAAATTGCTCCTAGACGAAGGTGGTTTTCCCCACAGCGGAGTCCCTCATGTAAGAGTGTGTGTGTGTGTGTGTGTGTGTGTGTGTGTGTGTGTGTGTGTGTGTGTGTGTGTGTGTGTGTTGGCATGTACACATGTGTGGAAGTCAGAGACAACTTTTAGAATTTGGTTCTCTCCTTCCACCTGTGGCTCCTGGGGATTGAACTCAGTTCTTCGGGCTTGGCTTGCTGGCAAGTGCCTTTACCCACCGAGCCATCTTGCTGGCCCTCAATTTTCTCCTCTGATGTGCTGTCACATACTCACCTTGTGACCTTGTCTTTCTTGAAGTGAAAGTATTTTTAAATATCTCACTGAGTGAATATGGCATGATATGATCTCATTAATTTGAATTAATGAATTTTCCTTCAAATGTTATGTATTTCTGTTTGTGTCCAGGCTAGTTCTAAAATAAAAAGATTAATTATGTATTTTCCTTAGTTGGCATGTGAAAAGAATTGCGAACAGCACATGAACCTACAGTTTCACAGATACTTCTGTGTGGGGTCAAATAAAAGTTAATGGTTTTTAAACTCTACACCATTTTTTCTTAATTAAAGTAATCAATAAGCATAGGTTATCTATGTTTGGTGAAAATTCTTTTAGGAAGGTGTTTTTCTAAGGGAGGGCTTGGAATGAACACATTCCACACATGTTTAACATAACATTTCCATTAATTTTCTGAGAATTTGATACATGCATACATTTCAGACTTTAAATAATAATAATGATTATTGTTGTTGTGTGTGAAGGCACATACCTGTCACCATGTGCATGTGGCAGAGGAAAACTTTTGGGAGTTGGCTCTCCTACCATAGGTAGGTACTGAAAATCACACTCGGGTAAGTCGGGCTTGTACCACAAGCACTTTTAGTTTGTAGGGGGTCATCTCACCAGCCCCATTTCACATTTCAAGTTTTTTTTTCGAGACAGGGTATCTCTGTATTGTTTTGGAGGCTGTCTTGGAACTTGCTCTGTAGACCAGGTTGGCCTCGAACTCACAGAGATCCACCTCCCGAGTGCTGGGATTAAAGGCATGCGCCACCAACGTCAAGCACATTTCAAGTTTTTAGGCTGCTTTTTTTTATATTTCTGGAGAAACTTTTGATGAGAAAACTAATCCATGCTCTCCAATGATCAAAGCCCTATATTCTGCTTCAGACAGAGATGGCTGACTTAGTGCCCAAGAGTTGCCTCGCCTTCAGTGAGGGTCCCATGACTTTCACTGGTGGCTCTGAGGGTCAGAGGAGGTGATCTGTAGATGCCTGAGAAGCAGCTTGAGATGTCTGTGGTTTGCTTGACGAGATGTGAGGCTGGGGAGATGGGCTTGTCCACCTCAGTCTTAGCGAATAGCATTAAGTCTGAGCAAC